GGGCGTCGATCGAGGGGCGTGTGTGCCCGGGGCTGTCTCTTCGTTGCTACCAGGTGATGTCTCGTTTAGGTCGATTGCGGGTTCGCGTGAACTTTGCGAATGGTGATCTCGTGTGTCTGCTTTGGCAGCGGTGAGTTCACCCTCCGATATGGGTGTGGGTCTTAGTGAGGCGTATTTTCTCAAAATTAAAAAACTCTGCAGCTATTGACGTAGCTCGACGAGGCGATCACGAATATCCCTGACCTTTCCACCTATCTATATAGTCTCCCTTCGTCCCCTCGCTCCTCGACAAGCTTTTGCTTAGACATGGGTTGTAGCGAAAGGGGGGATCTTTCTGGCGAGCAGGGCTAGACTCACCCTCAAGGGATGACCGAAACCTTCTTGCTGCTGCGCATCCGCCGCGAGGCGTGCGTGTGGTGGTGGAGTTGGGTCGGCAGTGATGGGGTCAGGCGGGAACATGTAGATGCGCGGGCCTTTCTGGCCGTCGGCGTAGGCAGTGATGCCNGAGCTGAACTAGGCTGGTTGACCATTCGGCGCGACAATTTTTATTTTTTTCAGACCAAGAACCATGAGTGCAATGAGGGAGAAAGCGAGGAACGGACTGGGAAGGACAGCAACGAGAGCGTGTACGGACGGAGCAGGTCGAGTGTCGTTTTGCTCGGGCTGACTACAGCGGCGCCGGATGGAGCAGTGGCACCGGAGCATGCGGGCGACATCGACCCGTGGCGCACGGACAAACATTTATATCTGATCTGTGTTGTCAATTTTCTTCGTTTTTTTCCTGATTTTCGGTGTTGGTTCTATGTGATGACGTCGTCACTGGTTTTGTAGAGAGACCCGTCAGAGATGGCGTGGCTAACCCGGGTGCATTGGTTTTGTGCCTGATCGTGGAAGACCCCTTCAATGTGGAACGATTCTTAGCTATTGTCGATATTTTCACTGCGTGCCTAACACAGACGATCGGGAGAGGTTCGGGTGATTGTCCATTGCAATCATGGCTTTGGTTGGTTGTTCTTTTTCACTGTACGTCCGCAGACACATTCTGACAGCACTTCAGACAGCAGCTTTGTGCCCCGCCAGCTTCTTGTTCCATGCCTACCATGGTGTTTTTGTACAGACAGCACTTCAGACAGCATGTATGCTGTAGTCGGCAATCATTCGTTTTGGTACAGAGTGGGACAGGTAGGGGGTGATGTTGCTGTAGTCGAACGGTGAGACGGACGTGTAGTTCAGTTTTGGGCACGCGTACGGTGCTGCAGGGATTATATATAGGTGTAGTAGTACCTCTTCGGGCTCTTGTACACCTTTTTCTTGCTACGTGTGCGTGTTCTTTAGATCCTCAGATGGCTCTAGCACTTTCGTGACCACGGGCTGAGAGTCTTTTGCTAGATTTTGGCATTTAGCAATTGACATTCGTTTTAATGTGAAGACAACAACAACAACAACCGAACCACAGACTCCGATACATCCGTGCATACAACACATAACTTCCGAAGCATACGTATGCATAGAGAATACCGAGTTAAACTTCCATAGAAAGGAAATGCAAAAAAGAGAAACAAAAATTGCCCGGCACCTCAAAGCCCCACACATGTTGTATCTACATACATGTCAGGACATGAACATGGACTGGAAATACTCCTAGCACCGCACTCATCCCCCTCTCACTCAGCGCCAGCTGATAACAAGAACTTCCAACTGCGCACCCACTCCCCCTGGGATGTCGGGTGCTCCCCACACTCTCTTCTCTCCAAATTGCACGCATGTTCCGATATGCCGACCTCAATATACCGCACATATACCACATATTGATTGTGATGCACCGTGAAGTACACCACTGCATGCCCTTGTCTAGTCGCGCTACCTCGTCAAGCTCATCATCAACGGTCGCACACACGCGGTACCCCACGAACCCGCACGTTAAGTTCGCACCCGCCCCCCGACCGCCGGCCCACGGCTACAGCCGACCCCGTCGACCATAACCAATCATCCAGTCACTGTGCACTCGCCGCCCGTGGCACAGCAACTTAGGCGCTCTCACTCGCACTGAGAGTACCGCCAGCATCTCTAACGCGAAAGACACACCCCAGCAAGGACCATCTACCCAAGAGACCCTCGCCCCATCAGCAGTATCGGCAAACGACCACACCTTCCTCATTCGCTACTGCTGGCGATCCGTCCTCGCCCTACCACTGACACCACCAAAAGCAAAAGGGTGGGTGGGTGGGAAAGAAATAGATCTCCTCCGACATATCTCTTGGCTGCAGCAGCCTCCCTCGTGCTTCCTTGGGGCAGACCAACAAGTGCTCCCGAGTCTACTCTTCTGGTCAGGTTTCAGACACTTCATGCTGACTCCATGCTGCTGCTCTCTGATTGGCCAACAGATATTTCATCTTCCGCTCCTCACAAAACTCAGATTTCAACGCCTCTGTCTCTGCAATCTTCTGCTTTGTTCGTTGCTTTCGAAATTGCATTTATTGGTCGTACCCCCCACACTTGAACAGGGGGGGGAGAGGAGAGCAGACCTCGGGAACCTCAACCTATCCCCGTACACAACACAATCAGTACAAACCAGTCACCGCACCATCAGGCATACTCTCAAAGTTATGCCTGCCCCCAACCTAACCGCGGAGTTGTTTACCATACTGATCCTCTGTACTCTCTCTCCCCCCCTACCGTGGTTCCCACTCTTGTACCGACCGATAAACCCTCATCGCATACACTCCACCCTCTCCTTTTACGGCTCGCCCTCACCAGCCTCAGGGACTACGTCACCCACTCTGTACCCTGTCCCGGTTGCCTCTCTGTATCACCCTCCGACGCCAAGGTACTAGAAACCCACTCTGAATCTTTTCCATGGTTCCGTACGTACGGCCGATACCCCGATTCGCCAGTCCATCTCCCCTCTCGTCTCAGAACTTCTGGCGACGCTCCCCCCACTGCCAAGTACGTGGCGCCCTCAATCCGAAGGGAATGCAACGCGTACTCTGACGACGGCAGACCCGCTAACGACACGACTTGCCGCAGCGCTTCCGTCGCGTGACGACGAGTCCACACGGACCATCGCCCCTCCCCGGTTCCGAACGCGACTAACGGAGCAGACGAAGGGAGAACAGGGAAGCATGAAAGGAGTTCAATCGTCACATCGACTGCACCCCGCCCACACTCCACAGACTGGGGAGGCCACGGCCTCGCCCGCATACACACGGCACCCTTCCGAAACTGGTCGCCTTTCGACGACCGAAACCGTACCTCGACTCTGTCGGCCTCTCCCCTCCGTTCAGGAGGCAACTGGCGAGAACCCAAAAAATACGTCACGTCCCCCCGACGCAATCTATGACAAGAATCCATGGCCAACGAGGACCCAGCGAACATTTCGCATGCCCGCATCAAGAAAAAAAATGACGCACTCAACGCCAGAAACAACACGCGCCCACCCGTGCCCCACTGTGGCACCAGACGCCCCCCTTCCTTCAGCATCGACCACGACACCGGACGTCGCACCCGTTGCTG